CGAGTTTGAAAGTTGTAATATCGGCAGGGATTACGTCACTATAAAGAATTCATGATAAAAAGTTTTTTGCTTTACTGGCTTAATGATCTTGTAAAAATTATTGTAAAACATAATTATATTCCGATTTTTTGATGCTGATTAACGAGATTTAGGGCTTATGTCCTTTTTCAGTTTCCGTTCGCTCACCCTCCTCTCTTCACACTTGTAGAGTACCGCGCATTTCAGTGTGTCACACGTCACCGCTGTAAAAAGATTTATTCAGTGGCGATTATTTAGGGCAACCTGGCGGGACAGGTTGACAACGGGGACCGGTGGTGGTTTGGACACAGTACGTCCCGGGGGCGCAGAGGACATTGGCGCAGTTCAGAGGAGCACGTGTCGTGGTGGTGGTCATGTCTGAAAATTTTCTGATACCTATTTCCTAATCGTCATATCTCTTTCACATCCCTCTTGATCTCGCTCTTACTCCCTCTCCGCCGCTCTCACCCTCCCTCTGTCTCTCGCTCTGTCTCTCGCTCCCTCTCGTTCTCTCTCGCTCTCAGTCCCTCCTTCTCACTGACTTTCTCTCTCCCTCCTTCACTCGCACTCTCGCGCTTACCCTCACACTCACGCTCTCGCTCTCGCACTTACTCCCCGCTAAGGATTCAGTTAAACTTACAGCACTGGTTCCACTGTACGCAAAGGCCGCTTGGGCTACGGTAGTATCCTGGATTGCACTGGCATTTCGCTGGCGCACAGGCACGATTGCAAACCTGAAATTCGGAAGTTAAGGTAGTAAGAACCTGCTCTAGGAGCCGTTTTCTATGTAGAAGGTGGGAGCAAGGAGCTAACATAAAGACAGAGGGAGCTAAAACTCGAGAGCCAGCACTTGAGCTGAATCAGCTGGAGCTTGCCTGCTGAAGCTGTCAGCGGCTTGGAACTGGGATCAGAGTTCACCCAGCCAGCAGCAAGGAGAATCGGAATGGCGAGTATTTTGGCTACCTGGCTAGGGGCTGGGGAGAACTACCTGGAAGCTAGACGTCGCGAGCTCGGCTCTGGGAGCTACTAACTGCATGAAGCAATTAAGACGTGTAGCCGGAGTAAAACCGGAGGCGATAGTTTTTTGCTCAAATGACCTCTTTAAAGGGAAGTCAAAATTCGCGCCTGCGGGGATTGAACCTACTGGTCATTCAACAGGAGGGTCGCTGCCGAGAAGACCCAGAAAAGTGATTTCGCTGCGAAGAAAAACATGAAATATTTGAGTCTTTGATCTGGCTATTTGCGGGAATGGCCGTGGACCAGATTTCGGGCGCCCCTTTAAAACGAAATTAAATATCTCTACCGGATTCGGATTCGCACAGGTCGGCTCACAGTAGCTGCTGCAGGTCTGCCAGGTCGACAATCCGGGGCAAGTCGGAGCTGAAAAGTTAATCAATTTCCGGTCAAATTTGTGCTCACGGCAATCCCGCTCGAGGATACAGTTGCCGGCCGTGTTACGGTAGTATCCGGCATTGCACATGCACTTTCCGGGGCCGCAGATAGCCGGGCAAATCGTGAAAAAAACATTTTTCCAGTTGCGGCGGATTTACCGGATTCCGCTGGGCACAAGTACGCCCACAGCTTGAGCCGCAGGAATTGTAAGTCGAGTTGGTCGGGCAGACAGGAGCTGAGGGTAAGGCGGGTTAGTCACGTTCTAGCGTTTTCTGCATACGACATTGGGACAGCGGGACGCGGCCTCCAACGACATTACGGTAGTATCCGCTGTTGCACTGGCACTGCGCGGACCCGCATTGTAGCGTGCAAATCGAAAAACATAGGCGGATAATGCTAATTTTGGAATATCAGTCCGAAACCAGAATTTAGACGGTTTTAAGGACAAGGAAGGCATAACTTTATGGATTTCTATAGATTTCTGAGCGTGTGGATCCCCGAATTTCGTAATTCCACGGCGCTCAAGTGTTCCGTCGAACCCGCGATGGTCCGCTCCAGAGTCCGACGCGCTAGCCACTATCCCACAGGGCCAAGTGGGGTAAGGAGTCAGGGGCGCCCCAAACCCCAGAGGGTCTTTGCCCAATACGGGACACCACTAATGACGCCTCACTCCGCGCGTTCTTGGGGGCAGCACCCTCGGGGTGACAGTGCGCGTTCCATCGTTCTGGTAGTCTTTAACTTCTGCTTTCCTAGTGGATTTATGATCCAAAATTTTAATTGGAACGATATGCAAAGTGCTTCCGGAAAGCTACCGGCCGCTGGTTGGCGCAAGTCGGCTCACACAGAGAGGAGCATGTCTTCCACGCGGAGTTGGCGATGCAATGGGGTGTCGTGGTTATTGGTGGGAAGGTTGGGAACGGGAACGGAAACTGACCGCCGGGTCCCGGAAACGGCCCCGGACCAGGAACTAAAGATAACAGAGTGATTTGGAAATAAGTAATTGGCGATACGAATCTTACGTCTTATTTACTTCCGTTTCTGCTCTCGAGCCACTAAAATTTCTTCGCGTTTCCGTGTCTTCACACTGACGCCTACGAAGAGGCTGCTTTACCACTAGGAAACTACCTAAAAACTTACAGAAAGGCGCGGATTCCGCTTTTGCCGGCGCCTCGTCACCACGAGTGGTCACAAGGAGAATTAAAAACTGTGTTTAACTGTAGAAATCATTAATAAAAAAACCTACCAACGCCCACATCATTGTGCTTTGTTGGTCTAGCTAGTGAATTTGGCTTCGATACCACCATCGAAAATTCCCGACCTTTTATACCCATTTCTGCAACATATCCGATTGAATTATGCATTCAAAACTTCTCGATTTTGGCGAAAAACCACGGGTCGCCGACCGAATTGGAGTAAAATTTGGCATTCCTGCCCGGGTACAGTGTATCGTGGTGGAACGGGCGATAAACAATGGTTTTTGGAAACGCATATTTCTGTCATCAAACTGATTATGGTTGCTCTGGTTCTTACTCTCCTCACCCCTTCCTCCGTGCCTCGGTGAAAAAACGTTTTTTTTCTACAATTTCGGTTATCTGCTGTGGCGGATTATCCTGATCCTCAAGCTCATTTTGGCTCTCACCAGTATCATGGTCTTCCCCATCATCATCAGTGTCATGATCAGCATAGTCATCATTCGTATCATCCTCTTCATCATCATAATCATCATCGAAATACGCTTCGTTACCATTGGCAAATTGAATAATATCCTCCTTAAATACCGCATCAGCATCGTCGAATTGGATATTTTCGACGTCAGTGAAGTGCACAAAGCGCATCGTTTCGGATATTCTGCACAGCACAGCACATCACCGTCGCCCCGTTCGATTCGATAGTAGTTGGAGAAGCAATCCTCCATGTAGAGACTCGGGTACTGGTCGAAGAAGGTGGGAGTGCTGGTCTCAAACCGGCCGCGGGTTCGCCCCGCGCGGATCGAACGGTTTCCACGCTCGCCGCGCAGCCATTCCTCGACCAAAATATATGCATAGACCCCAAGGCAGAAGACCGGGTAGGATTTATCGGTGTATTACTGCCGGGGTTGAAGTGTCCACTTAGAGAGGCGTTGATAACAACAATGGGTTATTTCAAGGCGACATTGGATAAACACGTAATGCTTTATCAAAATTTATTTACAGAGATCATCAATTATAACAAAATTTAAAAAGTAGACGAAGTCTATGTTGGCCTTGGTGGCAGTCCACTAATATTTTGTACCACAAAAAACGGCAGCCGAATCTTAAAAGATTCATCGTAGATTGGCTTGAAGGCAAAGGGGATGGCGACAGACAAAACTAGCATACACATCAAGAACCATAAACGGTTGTATTCTTTGAAGAAGATGGCTCCGACGATCTCATCATATCGACCGTGGATTTCCATTACCTGCAGATAGATGATATTTTATTAAGCTAATCGCAATTTTTCTAACTCACTAAAAGGATCAAAAGTAAGCTCTACCTCATGCTAGTTTTATCTTTAAAACCTACGACGTATAAGGGATATGCCAGCGAAGATAATCGATTCCGATTGCGCAATGATAGCATTGTAAGAAATATTGTCATTATAAATAAAACAATCTCCGCGACAATCATCAAAACTGCTCCGACAAGCAGCGCTGTAGGCAAAACCTTTCGTTCCTTGTTTGTGCGGACTAAATGCCATCACATTGTCAGTCATGAAAACCGTATTTTTCATACCTTTTATACAGGCCAATGAAGCTATTGGTTCCAAAATACACTTCATAGAACTTTCCGGCTGAATATAACAAGCTTAGACCCATAAAAATCAAGCGCCAAATCGATTTCGGCAAATATTTATTGAGCATGGGCATTGGGAGGGAAAGAGAAGGGTAATGTCGATTTATCGGCTCATTATAAGCTTTTCCTTTGAAGGCAGAAGATAACAGACAGTTTTGTTTTGTGACGTGCGAAAAATTGGAATCGGGGTTGAAGCACAATTCACCGGAAAGGCAAGCATAGAAGTGTAAGTCTGATCCAAAACTTTAGATATACAAGTATCGTCTGGAATTGTCGGAGTCTCTGTCGGCTTGACCGGTATAAGTGGAATTTCATGGAATTCGAACAGGTTTGAAAGATATCTTCCAGATTCCAGCTTTCTCATTTCCCCGTAAAAACACGATAAATGGCCGTCTACCGAAAAATATTGATCTACAAGTGGCAGCCGGTGATCATCTGATAAGTTTGCTAAGTTTTTAAGCTTTTTTGAGCTTTAATTTGGATTGAAAGTGGACTTTTTCCAACAACCATCCGGTTTTGCAAACTAAACGCTTCGACAATTGTCTCCTTATTATGCAAATCTCTGTCGCGTCTTTGAATCAGCTGTGAAGCGGATTTTCAGTCAATATGGAGTGAAATTCTATCAACTAGTCGCTCCGTTGGATGGAAATATGGTACGTCACAATACTCTCTGGCGGAAAACAGCACTCATAAGGAGCATCAGGAAAATAAAAGGATTTTAGAATATGGTCGGCGAAACACTTCAAAACCTCATCCGACGCCTTGCCCGTTCCCTGAAATTGACGGAATGTAAGGACACGACCCAAGCGCTTGCTGATTGTTACCTGTCCACGGCATGCGGGGTGAGTTCCGTTTTTGATGTGACAACAGGCGGAAAATAATGAGAACGAGTAGAAAACCAAATGCTGAAGCGACAAGAACCTGGTTCAGACACAAAAAGAGGGTAAAAGATGTACAAGACGATAGGACAATTCTTGTCTTCAGCAGTTGATTGTTCTTTGACGAAATCCGGAAGCAGAAACCGCCACTCGATCAGGAATTGCTGACAGAATCTCGAAAATCATAATCTCCAATCAGAATCTCTAGTTTGCAAAATACCGAATTTTCAAAATCCCGAATCTTCATAATCTCGAATTTTCAGAATCTCGAATTTTCAAAATCTCGAATTTTCAGAATCTCGAATTTTTAGAATCTCGAATATGCCTATTCTGGATTTACCGCGTAGGCGTGCAATTTCTGGAACCTTTAATGCTGATTTAAACCATGGCAATTTCGAGATTCTAAAAATTCGAGATTCTGAAAATTCGAGAATCTGAAAATTCGAGAATCTGAAAATTCGAGATTTTGAAAATTCGAGATTCTGAAAATTCGAGATTCTGATTTTCGAGATTTTGACAGATTCCCGTGGCAGTTTTATATTTGGCAGGCCCTTGTATGCGAATGGCTGGAAGCCAAAGCTGGCGCAGAACCAAAACGCCGCCTGAAAATCAGTGATAGGCTTATTTAGAATCCTATTTATCACCTTTAGAAATCCCTGATTTTAAGGTAGCATACCTGCTTAGCATTTCCAACTCTGAATCGAATATGATCAAAATCCTCCGGAGATTTTGCCGCCTGAAATCGAAAAGCTTAACATGAATTCCGTAGTCTACCATATCCCGGCCAGTCAAGTCCTCGATTTGCGGAGCTATCGCTTGTTGTGTTTTTGGTGTATATGCCCGTAACCCTAGGCCTTCCCTTATATGTTGCCACTTTCGTCAAAGATAACATGTCCAGACAGAAGGGGTTCCCCAGAAAAAGACCCTGGGTCCACTGACGATTTCCTCCGCTTTTTTCGACGACTAAACCACAGAGTAAAAGGGCCGTTGGGGGATGGTCTGTCATACGGTGTGGCAGTGATGAACGATTGGTCACTGAAATGTTTCGATGCTGATCGCAACAGCGAAAAGATGAGCTTGAGCTTTGATCACCGTACTGGTGATCAAAGCTCAAGCTTACTTGTGGGAGAGAAGATACGCTGCTCGAAATTGTCATCATGTCTGTTTCATGACGTCGGATTTTAGGTTCTACATCGGGTTTGAGGTGTTGACTCGAGCTAGACCGATTTCTTAGCTACTGTAGTCTTCACGGAAGTTATTACCAAAGTCAAACTGTCGCTATGTGTAACAACCAAGAATTTGAGGGTTCATTTTAGTTTTTGATACCTTATATCGGATTTCGTTTCTCCATTCAGTTATTGCTACCTCTCTAACCTCACGCCAACGGGCATAAAATTTTAATAGCGGACAGCTTTAAAAAGGCATGGTCTTAGAACCGGCCAGCAGGATTTGAATGAAATAAATTTTTGAACCATTTTATGAATTGAACCATTGTGATAGTGATTGGTTAGTCGACGATTCAGCAGAACCACGACAGGGCCAAGTAGGTGTACCGTTGCAGAAATCCAACCGAGTACCGATGAGCAAAACCTGTATAGTGTTGATTTTATGTTTTTCATACTTATTGATTTATTAAAATTTTTAGGCTTTGATCGATCTTCTATCTCTCATTCGCACTCTCTCTCTCTCTCTCTCTCTCTCTCGCTCGCTCTTTATCTCTTCCTATCTCTCTCCCCCGCTTTCATCAGCTTTCTGATTTTTCTAGATTCCCTTTCTGGCAATTTGTTGGATGCATATCAGATGGGTGGCAACCCCCTCCCCCCCCCCGCCCAGTAGTCCCTATCTCGCCGGGCCGCTTGTGTGTTTTGGCGCCAGTCGATGCATAGAAATAGCGCCAACTCTAGGAGAGCATATTTGGTTGGTCCGACATAAAGTAGGTCAAGGCGAGAAACAGGGAAATACGTATTGCTGTCTAGGTATGTAAATTAAGGGAATCTGTGAAGAAGTAACAACATTTTCAAGGCGTTTCTAGTCCAGCTACCCGGGTTCGATCCCAGCCAAGAGCGGGGCTTTTTGCTATCAATTCTGCCGGACATATCGATGAACGCAAATCGCTAAAAAACCAAAAACAAAAGACATGTGATTACGTAATAATAAACTGTTTTTCAAGGTGTTATCAGGCGGTGGGCCCGAGTTCGACCTCTCCCGGAACGCGTTTTTTGCTTTTTGCCTTTCCGCTTTTTCACATGAATAATAGAACTGAAATTATCAATATCAAAAAAATTATGCACTATAAAACGGCAAATAGGACTTTGCGAAAAACAGTTAATTGACACCTTATATGCCGTTTTTCGGTCCCAAAACCTCGATTTCCATTTTTCGATTAAAACCACTATTTTGTATAAAATTTTTTACCGTTTTAAATTTTGATTTTAAAACTGGCAGATGTTTCACTCTCTCAGTCCCAGAACACAGAACCCTTGCCGGGAATTATATGGGTTATTAATGCCGCCATATCCACTGGGGGTCCCTCTAGGGGTGTGCATAACCCCGGATACCTATCGAATGTGGTTGAAGGTTTGAGTTGGCGCTAGAGACGATAGAGCACGACCTTTTAGAGGGTAGTGGCATAAAAACGGCGAGAGACCCCTGCTCCTATTGGAGACCCGAGGCGGCTAGGCTGACTCGGTTGGGGGTTCTATGGAGTCTCGCTGGCCCCAACCCTCTAGCTATGTATCTAGGCGTACTCTAGGTGGTATTTACTGTAGTTTTCGATGTACAGTATCGCTTCTGGCCTTTGGCTAAG